TTAACTGTATATAAATAAATATACTCAAACACATTCAAGTGATCTTGCCTCTTTCAAGAAATGACAAAGGCCTTGTTTATTTTTAGCCAAATTCAAACACTCTCAAGGATTCTGAAGGGCCATAGAGATGAGAGCCCGGCCTCTCGTCATATGGTGTTATTGTCTGTGACATTGTGATTCTTGGCAGGAAGGTTCTTGTTTAATACCTCTGCCTAATGGTATCACCACTCCAGATTCGCATCACAACTCTTCAACCCTTCACTCACTTGCCAAATTTCCTTGTCCATATTTTCTACCTGGTCGCTCAGGGGGATCCATGCTCCGGATCTAGAGGTGAGTCACTCACCGCTTAAATGTGTTTTCACCATAGTAATAGACTCTTGGAAGCCTTATCTTTACATTAAAAATGCAGGTCTGAGTTTGGCCCAAACTTTCTTAATGTTTTTTTTTTTTCCTGCTGAGCTGCTGCCCAGCCCTGCACTACACTAAACAAACTGCTCCAACGGCTCATTAGCACCAACTACTGTCACTTAGCACTGCGTGACGGGGACTGCAGCATCATTCAGGCTGATTGTAAGGAGGGTGGGGGTGTGGTGGGGGTGGGGGTGTGGTGGGGGTGACCTCACTTTATATTTATACTAGTTCATTGTGTGGCTGCTGGTGGTAACCCCCTGGTGGGGATGCAAACAGAGCCCATCCACTGGGTGGTACCATTTTACAGAGTAACTAAACTACAGTTTGTAGCAGATGGAATGGAAATGTAATACATGGATGTAAAAAAAGTGTTAAATACAAGCTGTTAAACATGTTATATCTGGCAACCATTTCCAGTGCAGTATAAATGCTTTTTTCCCATGTACATGTGTAGCATTTTTGAGATGAAATGCATTCTTACAGTGATGTGAAGTGAAGACAGCGCATGGTAAGGATAATCTTTGCCCTCTAGTGGTTAACTTTGATTAATGCACCCCATTGGCACAAACAACATGAAGTCAATTACACAGTTGTGCATAAGCAAAAAAAAAATACAACCGTAGCTATCTGGCAAGTATACATTTAAAAAAAGTGTTGTTTTAATTACACTTTCAACAATCTTTTTCTTACTTTACCCTTTCATAAATTATACAAGTAGAATATATTATTTTTTTCAGTGGCTCAATTAAGTAAAATGTGTAAGTGATTGAAAGCATAAGAATTTGGGCCATAGTGGTTAAATGTCCTACCTCCTACTAAACATGATTTCCCGTGTATCATGATGAACGTTCTTGGAAGAAGCAGGGGTGATGAAGCTTATTCAGTTTATACAGTTGCTGAGTGAATGAGAGGACTTTACAAACTAATTCAGTGAATTCCTGCATCACCACTCTCAGCTTCCATTTTAGTTTAGCTTTTGTGGGTCTTCGAGGTACAGGGGTGGGTCTGCTTACTAAATCAAACTCGGCCTGTTCTGAACAATAAATGGCACAATTAGTGAATTTATGTACAAACAAATAACTCTGAAATGTACAGTAGTGGATGTTCCACTAATACTGAGCTATGTTTACCCCACCAGGCAAATTAAACTAAAACACAGCAGAGCTTACTGTAAATACCTCTTTGTTTACTTAAACTCTGTTTTCTCACTCTTGTTTTTCCCTACATGTGCCGGGAACAGAACACAATCACCACAGAGTATTGAAAGGTGAACAAATGAGTAACAATGATCAATAGATTATTGGAAGCCCCACTCATTAATATTATTGTTCAAAGTTTATGCTTCCACAAGAGTGCGACAAAAAACAAGACATCTGTGTGGAACACACTGACATCACTGTTGTAACAATTCTTTGTTTTTGTAACAAAGTAATTGTATTGTTACAGTGTGAGGGGATACGCTGTTGTAGATGATGTGAAGACTGGTCATGTCGTGCGCATGAGGATGTCTTATATGTGCAAATGGGAAAGGTTATCAAAGCAAACATCACATGTGCTGGAGATTATGTGCCCTGGACAGCTGTACAAGTAAACAGAATTATTGCTTTAAACACATGCAATATAAACCATAGACTTTTATTTCCTGGAGGTAGACCACATAACGGAAAGGAAAAAAAAAAAAAAAAAAAAAACATATATTGATATTTATTAATAAGGGGAGTGTCTGTGTGGGTGTGTTTGTGCATAAGAGAGTGTCTGTGTGTGTGTGTCTGTGTGTGTGTGTGTGTGTGTGTGTGTGTGTGTGTGTGTGTGTGTGTGTGTGTGTGTGTGTGTGTGTGTGTGTGTGTGTGTGTGTGTGTGTGTGTGTGTTTTTACACCATTGTTTAAACTGATAAAAGGTTTTGACTCGTAGCCTCGCATGTCATATAGCCCCAGAAGAAACCCAGGGTAATAAAACCTTGTCCATATTTATACAGTCAATGCAGTTTATTTCAAAGTCAAAGGAAATGTAAAGGAGTGTAATAGGTGGCAGATCCAAGGAGAAGCTCACAGTGGATAGAAAACAACAAAACAAGACAAAAAGAACAAGTTGAAAGAGGAAATAAAGAGTCATGTGAAGAATAGCTCTGCAGTGCTGGGGGCAGTTGGGGTCCCCAGCATGGGACCGACTGGTTGCTGCTTTTCAGTGATTGTTATCAATGAGGTGAGAGAGACAGTTCCATAACACCCCTCTCCACCCCCCTTCCAGCTTACAGCTTGAATACAAAACACAAGGTACGGAGAGCAATCATTTGCTTAACTGGAATATGACCCCATCCTAGCACTGAGTGCTGAAGGGAACGGACCATAAAACACATACCTACTGATCCATTTTTCTGTTGCCATTTATGTTTCCCCCCCCCCCCATTAATATTGCTGACGAAAACCGAAATTCTGAACGCTGACATGCCTCGCTGTCCGCCGCCGGTGCTGTTTCAGGACTGGCGCTTCTGTGGCGTTTGCGAGCTGCATTGTGTGGGTCTGAAGCATGCCAGGACACCGAAGCGCTTGTGATACAGCTCACGTTTAGAGAACACAACAGGGTGCTGTACGACTGCCAGACAGCCAGTGAATGCTATCAAGTCAAGTGAAAAAGAGAGGGAGGGAGGGAGAGAGAGAGGGAGGGTGGGACAGAGGGAGAGAGAGAGAGAGAGAGAGAGAGAGAGAGAGAGAGAGAGAGAGAGAGAAAGAATTTTTTCCCCCTATGAATACATATTTCTGCTTTGCATTATAGACTACACAACTGTTTTTTTCTTGTCTTTTTTACTGTCAAGCTGTATATAAAATGTGTCGTATCACATACAGTCATATTCCATAAATATTAACAAACGTGTGTTGAAGTCCCAAAGCATTTGCATGAATACACATGGGTACTTGAAGAACACACAAAATGGAGATCATTTGTCACGTTTGTTAGAGGTAAAGAATAATTTTGTGCAGCACATACAAATATAAATCAATTTTACTGCCAGGGAGAGTTACGTTGAGAATGATTCCTGAATGGCACATGTGGAAGGTCCTGAATTCCATTGCAAACATCCATAAGCAACCATGGAACAGTCACAGCTTATGACACTACCAGACCAGGGAGTGCAGGTACAGCAACCCCAAAGCGCTCATGTACTTTCCTATACCATCATAAAACCTCGATCTGTCAGTAAAACATGCACAAAATCAAAGATACCATATTGCAATATAACACAGATGTTTATCTGAAAAAGCTAATTCTAGGGTCGACAAGCTAAATTCAAACATCTGTGCAACTCTGGTGTTAAAATTAAAATCAGATCCTAGACTATACCAACATATCAAAAAGCTCTCACTCCCATATATCTTGATGTCTCTTTGGCTATGCGAATTCCCCTTACTTAGGCATAAACTAATGGCTTTATACATGGGGTAATACTTGTGTCTGTAAAGACTGTAGGTAAATGAACAGTTCACTTCTTGCATTGCTGATATCATATTAATGATGCTAAAATGTTAGCACTTCCATCCGCTGGTGAAACATAGTCTCTTCCACCCTCTTACAATGCCGATAATGAGAAAAGCAAAGCCATGCACAGTATGTTCACAGTGTGTAATACTTTTGTAGCAGACTTCAGCTGAAATCAGTATTCAAGCTACTATCTGCTAATAAGGCCACAGAGCTGATATTAATTGTTCTGTCTGGGTGGTTATGCCGGCTGTTTTGGCTGCTGCCTTATTAAAGTCTCACTGTAAAGTGTAGGTGGGTAATTCAGATGTAGGAGGATAGCTTTTTTTATTATGATTTGATTATATCCCTCCCCATGTACTGTAATTCCTTAACAGCCATCGAACAAGCAGCCTATTTATTATCTGTATACTGGCAGAATTTCAGGGCAGGTCTCTTTTACTTAAATAAACTCTGGGTGCGTTCCAATGCTCAAGTTTCGTCTCCTCGTTTCCTCCACTCGTCTCCTCGTCTCCTCTTTCCCCCGAAACTTATCGATGTGTCCTCCCTCCCTCCACTGTTCCAAAAAGGTAAGGGAATGAGATTTTGTCTCTTCCACTTGCCTCCTCCTCTCCTCCAGACCAGGGATGCATCAATGTATCCTAAAGAAGGAAGTCTCTTTCATATTTCTGGATGACATCATGCTCTCGACCAGTCAGATTAAAGGACCATTCCACAGAATATTTTGATTGGTTCAGGTATCTGCGTTATCAGTCAAAGTAGCCGAGGTCAACTTTGATGACTGGCTAATCGGATTAGCTGTTCCGATTTTTGTTTCATCTCCTCGTTTCCTCCACATGCTTCCGGGGAAGGAGATGAGGAAGGGTATTGGGATACACCCTGTGGCTGTCTGTCTCCTGGTTCCCTCCCTCAGCCTGGAGAGCCAAGTGGAGCTGTAACAGCAGTGGCCTTGCAAACAGGCAGGCTCACCTGGTGGCAATGTTTAATCAATCCTTGTGTTGCCAGTAGCCTTGAATTAGGCCTTACATTTAAACCTGTTTGGCTAAAGAAGTAGAAGAAGAAGAAGAAGAAGAAGAAGGAGGAGGATGCTTTTTGGGCTTTTGTTTTTTATAGTTACAGGTGAGGTTTGAACCCACAACCATGGAGTTTTTAGCACTATGCTCTAACACAATGAGCCACTGTGTTTTGTCTGGTACTGGGTGTGCTGTAATACCTTGGCGTAGCTCACTCATTGGCACGATCACTGCTGAGTGGAGAAATGGTTCTCCATCACAGACAATCTATGTCTGGTTTTTGTGCAAGTGCTGGTGGGTGGAGCACCTTGATTGACAGGCGGGGCCTGTGTGAATTGGGCCACCTGTGGCTAATCAGCTAAAGGTCAGGGTGGGAGCTTTGCTCCTGGTAAGGTTTGGTTTAGTTAAGTCCCAACTTCGTCAGGGTGGGAGCTCTGCTCCTGGTAAGGTTTGGTTTAGTTAAGTCCCAACTTAGTCAGGGTGGGAGCTGGGCTCCTGGTAAAGGTTTGTACAGTTGGTCTGACCAAGTGAATTGAGACTTGTGTCAGTTTCTTTTGTTTTGTCTCCTGACAAATTGAAGTTCATTTGGAAACTGCCCCAAAGTGGGTTAATTTGTTTTCATTTGCACAAGACAACCCTGTCAGGAGGTGTCTTAAGTTTCTCAAGAACCCTTAGTGATGGGATTTTAACTTAGTTTACCTCTCCAACCTTTTTATTTATTTATTTTTTTATTTCTCCTGTTTGTGTTGGAAACCTGTGTTTCAGTTATTCCCCAACTTATTGGAACACTAATGTATTTTAGAACCCTTTTTCCTTAAGTTCAAATATAGTGATTATTATATTGATCTTCCCAGGAGGACAGGGAGAGGGCACTTATCTTAAACTGATTAACCCAAGCTAAAACTGAACTTGCATTTTTATTAAAGTCAGTTCTCTCCATTCCATCTGAGGAAAAGTATGATCCAAGATCAATTACTTTTCATGTCAACAACCATAGTGTGATCCCTAAGCTAAGATCTGTGGTCTGATGTTCTATTGCTGTCCCTACACATTCCCTTAGGCTACTTACTTTCGACAAACTGCAGAGCAGAGTCTGGGACTATAACCTTATTGCAAACAGTGAAGATGTATAGTTAAAAAAAAAAAAAAAATATATATATATATATATATATATATTTCTGTATTGATTTACATGGGTGCTTTCATCAAGCAATCTCAGAGAACATATCGAGTGACAGTATCAGTTGTCCTCAATTGATAACTGCAGGTCATTCATGAAGAGCATGGTGACCATTCAGGTTCTGTACCCACCCTCGCAGAAAATATTGAATTGAGTAAATGAATAAAGGTACTTTATATAAATAAAGATGCTTATTTGGAGTGATACATTTCCTATGGAATCAGGGTGTTTTGGCTTTCATACTGTACCGATGTATAATGGATTAAACACTCATTCACCAGAGTGCAAATATGAGCAGACCACTTCACCCCGATGCCTGGGCTTGTTTTATTTGACCTGCATTCCTATTACAGTCATGCACCTATTTCTGTTTCATTGCACATTGTTGTAGCTCAAAACAAGATGAATCAAACCTACGAGCAAGTGAAATTGTAGGTGAGAAAGACCAATTTAATCTTTGTCAGTGTAACATTGATTCTACAATGACACACTTATATCGGACCTTGCTATCAATTTTATGTTATCAACTTATCAAATTATGTTGTCATTTCTGGCTTTTGGTGTCATGTTGATCTCACAGAAGAGGGCTTCTCTGCCTGTTTGGTATGGAATCTGGACCAAAGCAGTGCTGACTGGGTCTGGCAGTTCTGTGCGGTGATGCAGAACTGGCTATGGCATCACCCAGAGACACAGAGATTCAGATGTGTGTGTGTGTCATTACTCACCACTGACCTCTACTGGTCAATCTGACGCTCATGGTCTAAACGCACTGAGCTGCCTGTAAAGTGTTTTACTCCACCTTACGACTGAGCACACTCCACCTGTGGAATAGTGTGTCGGGGAAACAAAGAGCAAGATGCCGTCACATTTTAGAGACTAAAATGTGTGACGGCAAAACGCTGGGAGAGACGGCATGAGAGTTCACCATGAGGATTTACACGGCAGTGTGTACCTTCTTTTTAATATTAATACTAAACATGCTACTGACCCATCAAATTACTGTGTGTGTGTGTGGGGGTGTGGGGGGGTGTTATGGGTTTCTGATTAATTGGCATGGGTTTAATATGGGGGCTTTGGGGTGAAGGTTGTTAAAATGGGGAGTATACAGAATGGCTATGACATGGGTTAAAAATGGTTTAATTTTACAGTTTGCATAAATATGAATTAAGTACTAAAACTAAGAACTAAACACAAGATCCAAAAAAAAAAAAAAAAAAAAAAGAGGGAAAAAAAAAATATTTTCAGTGCCAGTAAGTGAGGATGAAGCCAAAATTAAGATCAATTTCTAAAAATCTAGGACATCTGGCTGATGTCTTTCTGAGATGAGTAGATATGCAATTAATTATATTGATTTCTGTTGGAAAACATCTTTAATACATAGGAAAATCTGCCGTCAATAAAATTTAACAGACGTAATAATCCTTAAGACAGATGGGCATCATAACCTCATAAACCAGAAAAGAGCAGTTATATAATTAGTACTTTTAGAAGATGCCTCTAGGTGGCACTGTTGAATCAAATTATTCTTCTTCTTTTTTTCACCTATTACTTGCAGTGAAAAACAACATTTCTTATGTTTTTAGTGCAGCAATAAAACAATCTACCCCTTTTGTTAATTATTATTAGAACTATTACTGTTATTGTAGTCATTGTAATTATTGTAATATTCATCAGATGTGTTTTTAGGTCACCTGCTTAGTGACTTCATGGATATATTTACAGGAATCTGAGCAAATCCCACATTACATGAAAGCAGACAGCTTCAAACAGAATGCCATGTGAAGACTGCGCACTGTGGAGGCCTCAAAACTCTGTGTGAGCAGGTGATAATAGACGGCAAATTACAGACCCGTAAAATATGTAAATCAGAAGATGTTATAGGACTAATGAGAATTATCCCGCCATAGAATTTTTATGAAATGTTCGATGTGACTCTTTAGCCATCCTTTAATAGAAGGTTCAAATATGTTTTTTTTTTTAGAATGTAATGTTCAGGATTTTCCATTCTGTGACTGGGAAAAAAATCATAAGTTATTGACTCACATGAATCACCCACCTAAATTTGATTGACTGGAGAAATGCTAAGAATGAAGCAGAGTATTGAGTTATTTGGGTAGCAGCACTGAGTGCTTTCATTTATTTGGTTACTGAATAATGCAAAGAAAATAATATTATTGCATTAATGCAAAATGAAATATTTTCATTTTTTTCATTATTATTTTTGAAAAAGTAATTAACCTTTATTTCCATGCAATATCTCAACATACAGCTGGGTGGGGAAGTGGTTTGGATATTGACAGAGGTGAGACTTTGTATAAATAACTTGACAAACCTCAGGTTTGTTTTGATGCGGTAGTTTACATTGCATTGAAGTCATCTGGCACACACTATTGTTCAGAACGACTTACAATGTGGGAGAATGTACTACAGTCAGCCGATTAATATGAGCAGTTCTAGAATTGAGTGAAAGCATTCCCAGACCAGTACAGTACATGTCACCTGACTAAAGTGTTGATGTTTAGATAACCAATCAGAACAAAGCATACCGATCCTCCGGATAAACAATGCATTCACAATAGGGCTTGATAGGCAAAGTATAGCACCATAAGTGGCATGGCCAGAACAATAACCGAGCATAACCTCAGTTTGCATCCAGATGCAATCTGAGAGACAGGTGTAATGACTCATGGGCAGGCACTTCAGTAGACGGAATTTTAATTATCTTAGAAACACAAGCCAATATTAATATGCTGAAGTAAATCCATGCAGCAAAGATCAGAACCATCATGAGCACCTAGATACACATGCATGTAAACCTGAGTATCTTCTCTGATAGTATGTATGTATGTATGTATGTACAGGGACAGACAAAATGGAGGAAACATTAAAATTAATTTCTATGACAGGTGAAGGAGGTGAAAATGTATGCTGGATCTTGACATTACAATGTTACTTCCCATTAAGGTTCAATGATGTTTTTATGTGGTGATTGGGGGTGACCATGTAAGGTGTTCAACTTCATCCAGATGTTTGTTGAAGCCAGTCATGAATCTATTTGGCAGTATGTGTGGGAGTGTTAAAGTCGTGCAATATAAGATTGCAACCTGAGGCTGCAACCGGCTGCCTAAAATCGCTTTGTATTGCTCACAATGCAGGGTGATAACCAAACCCAGCAACTCCGACGTGATGCTAAAGCTCTCCATAGCATGGCAGATCCATGAGCGGGCAATGCAGGTTTAAGGCTTTCTTTGGTTTTCCACAAGCATAGTGTATGATGTGGAACAGCAAATCGAACTTGCATAGCTAGCAATAAGTTACACTATACATGATACATTCAGAGGGACTGAGGGAAGTGGTTAAGCTAGCATGTTAGCATTGATGATCGGTGGAAAAAGAAGTGCACTCTAGCTAGCAATACAGGGAAACTTCATAACACATTTTGGTTACATTCCATAAAAAAAAACATAATCTTTGTTATTTGTGGATTTACTTCCCATGGATGAATGAACAAACAAACAAACACATACAGTACATACCTCAATACATTCCAATAGAAACCAGCCCCATCCTTGTAACACTGATTTATAATCCTATATTAACATATTTTAATATCTTTAATATCTTACTATACTCTCTGTGGTTGAAGATTCTTTCTTAGATACATTTCATTCAATTTTAAATAAAAGGTGTCCGACTATTTCTTTTCCGCTCTCCCTTTGTGATAAAAGCATGTTCATTTTCTCTTGACATCTCAGGTAAAATAAAACAAACATGATAAATCTTTCAACATTATGGTACTTGTGAGTGGCACTAACTATTTTTACATAGACATATTTTCACTCTTACATTGAGTCATACATGTGGAAGGTATCATATTTATCAGATTGCAGCTGTCACTGTGTGATGGATCTTATTTTACTGCTTACTGTAAATTATGTTGGACACTCTATTTTACTCCTTTGTGCCCCAAACATATAATCTATTCAGTTCTG